AGACTATCTGTAAAACCTATAATACTCTAGTGTGAGTAGATGGCTAACGGGCATGACCTTCTTTTCATTGGTTGTTCGGCACAGTGGGTCGGTGTCTCTTGCCGTCCTTTCAGACATTGTCAGGGAGGGTAGGGAGTCACTGCACACACACAGACCTTCTTTTCATTGGTTGTTCGGCGCAGTGGGTCGGTGTCTCTTGCCGTCCTTTCAGACATTGTCAGGGAGGGTAGGGAGTCACTGCACACACACACACACACACACACACACTCACACACACACACACACGCACACGCACTTGCACACTCACACACACACACACACAAACTCACCTACAGCATATTAATATCATATATTTCATCGATTTACACACGCAGCTCACCACTTCTCTTCGCTTCCGCAGCCGTACTACCTCTTCGGGTGGCTCCCTTTTATGCGGCCCGTTGCTTGGATCATCTTCTTCCTCGTCTTCTCTAAGAAGAAGAAGCCCTCGATGAGCACAGTGGAGAAAATGATGGCGAAGGTGAGGCTGGTCTTAGCAAGGTGTTGCTGCTGAAGATGAGAAAATGAAATGAAAAAGGAAAAAAAAAGAGAAAATAATGGGGATGAAAGGAAAATATTCTAGATAGTTTTTGTTTGATTATATTTGTAATTACATTGATGCGGCACCAGTTACTGTGCTATAATCGGGGTATGCTATTGGAGATCCTTGGTTAAAATGATCTGCTCTTTGGGGAACCTGTAAAAGATATACTGTACCCTGACTGAGGGGAAAGTAGGCGGCGTTTAACTGCCAAGAAAGAAAGAAAGAAAGAAAAAAAAACATATTGTAACTGGAACACAAGTTATTACGTAATTTTGTTAATGCTCTTTGCCTCACACCTTTTCTGCCTTAGTTTGTTTCCTTCATAAATAAGGTCCATCCAGTCACCACATTCCTCATTGTCCCCCTTTCCTCATATCCCACAAGAACTGGTTCTCTTGCTTCTTCTCAGCTAAACCAAACTCATACTCCTCAGAATAACTCCAGATACTAACTCCACTTCAGGAACTCATCCTCCACAATAACTCCACTTCAACACCTCACACTCCACAGAATAACTCCACTTCAACACCTCACACTCCACAGAATAACTCCACTTCAACACCTCACACTCCACAGAATAACTCCACTTCAACACCTCATCCTCCACAATAACTCCACTTCAACACCTCACACTCCACAGAATAACTCCACTTCAACACCTCATCCTCCACAATAACTCCACTTCAACACCTCATCCTCCACAATAACTCCACTTCAACACCTCATACTCCACAGAATAACTCCACTTGAACACCTCATCCTCCACAATAACTCCACTTCAACACCTCATCCTCCACAATAACTCCACTTCAACACCTCACACTCCACAGAATAACTCTACTTCAACACCTCATCCTCCACAATAACTCCACTTCAGGAACTCATACTCACTCATCCTGCCACTCACCCCTACTCACCAAGTGTCGCTTTCCTCATCTCTAGGAAGGACCAAGGCAGATGATACCCATTAGTGACACAGAAGATTCGCCTCGAGATGTGAGTATGAGTAACCCCCCCCCCCCCCGCTCCACCCTCACCCCCGTTTTCTGTTGCTTTGACAAGGGGTACTTTCCCTTTTGAGATCTACTTTGTTTCTGTAGTTCCTGTATATCGGCTGTTGTGCCCTTGTATTTTTTGGTTTAACATTGCAATTTATTACACACACACACGCACACACACACGAAATCTAGTTCTTTGTCTGATTATATGGTATGCTTGTTATTGTCATCGTTGTTATAATTTTGTCACTATTATTGTGTCGTAATGACAGTTATCATGATTATGATTACTATTATAGCAGCAGTTGTTGTCAGTTTTACTATTATTATTATTATTATTATTGTAATCATTATCATCATCATTTTTATTATTGTTGATATTGTTATTATTATCATTATCATTATTATTATTATTACTCTTATTATTATCATTATCACTATTGTTATTATCATCATTACTGCTTATATTATTACTTTTCTTATTTTGACTATGATTATTATTATGATGATGATAATAACGTCAATGATAATAACAATAATAATACCAATAGTAATGATAAAAAATATATACGATACTGGCAATGATAATAATTATAATGGAAATGATAATGATAGCAATAAGAAGTTATGATAAAAATAACAATGTCATTAATAATTATAATAATAACAACAGTAACAACAACAATTTCATTAATAATGATAAGGATAATAGTAATAGTAAAAATAACAATGTCGTTAATAATGATAATAATAATAATAACAGTAACAACAACAATTTCATTAATAATGATAAAGATAATAACAATAATCATGATAACAATGTATTTAATAATGACAATAATGATAACAATGCTCTGATGTATTCGGTAGTCTACTGGGTTGACTGTAATGCTGTGTATCTGCTGAGTCACCTTCGTTT